TTTTTTTTTTTTTTTTTTTTTTGGTTTCCTATCGCGATTCAGGATCCGTATTGAATAAATTGCTCATTAACTTAAATAACTTCATACCCAGAGCTTAAATCGAAAACCTCTGGTTAAAAATAAATGAGTACTTACCACTCCACCACAATCTTTATCAGAGGTTGTTTTGGTTAACAGTTCAATTATGATATCATCTAGAGATACGATGTACAACTAAAAGATATTCGAACAAAAAAAAAAAATTCCCTACAAAGTAACAATACAATTATTACTCTATAGCTCATCAATTTGGGTCTTTATTTTAATATGGTAGTGATATCTATTTTTTTCCCAATAAAATCAAACAATTCTTAGGGATTCATTGTATCTTAATAAATGACCCTACCAAATTAGTAATATCTGTCTAATATCTTTTGTGCAACAAGCAGAAGACAAGAGTCTTGGATGAGTCAGTCTTTCCCTTTCATGTGAGTATTAAATGCAAAGAAGGAAGTTAGTTGGAAGTTTCTATCGAAATAATAAATTTGTTTTTCTCAGATTTGCAAATTGGAATCTTTTAGCTGTGTGTTGTCCTCGTTAATTCTCAACCAACTAAATGTGCACTGTCGTATCAGCTTCTGGTTCCCATATTAGCCAAAATGAAGCTTTGTGTAAATTTTGGTAGGTGTCAAATTTAGAAGCTAATTGACATTTAAGTGTAGGGGATATTTACCAGAATAAAAGTAAGTTTTTTTATAAAAGGGTTTTTACACTAGCAATATTATTAGAGAGTGAATGTTGGAAGCAATACTCAGGGGCGACTCAAGCACATGCGGGACCTAAAGCCAAAATTTAATATGAGATCTAAATTTTTAAAAGAAAGTTATAAGATATGTTTTCATTTGAAGTCTATTCTTCAAATTTTTTGAGATATAAAGTTGTTAATAATTTTCTTTTTATAATTGATTTTCTCTAATAATTCTTGTTCGATTGCCAATATAGCCAACTTATTTAATATTTCTTGAGATATATTGTTGATCTTAGATAAGATTTTACATAGCAATAGAAGTATAGAACTATTGGAAGCTTAAAAATAGTGTTGAACACTTGAACTAGTGAAATCTTGGAGAAAGAAGGTGAGTAATTGTTGTGACTGAAATAGCTGACTTGGAAGCCAATAAAGCTGCCACAAAGGATGGTCACATGGATAAGACACGTAGGAGTTTTAGAAGAATTATTCCTCCAAAAAGACTTGGAGATTACGTTTGGAAAGGTGATGGTCACGTGAATAAGGACAAAGTTGGTTAGGCAAAAAGAGTATAAAGCAACAGGCAAAAGGGCATTAAGGGTCAGACCAATATTGATATGAGTGTTCTCTGTTTTCTCCCTCTTTTCTTCTAGTTCCTCATCTCCTTCTCTAGTTATCTATTTCCAGTACTTCTATTGTAATTTTTCTGCTTTTCAGTCGCAATTGGATTATCAGTAATTGTAATTTTGAGCTAAGTCCCTATTAATATAGTTTGGGAGTTTTGGTTACTGTTTCATTACTGAATTTGTTCCATTGGTGCTTTCATCTAGAGGTCTTCTATGGATGACCAAAAACTCAAGTCTCTCGTTGAAGAATCTATTCAGGCAGCATCGAATTCGTTCGCTAAGGACATTGCTAATATACGTTCGATGTTGATGGAGGTTATGGGGAGAACGGCTACGCCCGCTGTTATAAACCCAGACCTAACTATGGAGGTCACTCCGGCGACGATTCACCGCCACAGGCCGGAGATTGGTCGGTTTTGCGGTGAGAATCCAGAGGCATGGATTTTTTAGGTGGAGCGCTACTTTGCATTTTACAAAACATCAGAATCGGAGCAGCTAACCATCGTATCCTTTTACCTCGATGGAGAGGCGCTGGAATGGTACCGGTGGCTCTTTCGAAATAAACAATTGGTGGACTGGGACCACTTTGCAGCAAAGGTCAGAATTCGTTTTCGACAAAAAGGATTGGAATCGGCAGAGGGACGGCTGGCGAAGCTCCATCAAACCACCACCGTATCGGAGTTCCAGAAGCGGTTTGAGACCCTTGCAAATGAAACAGACGACATGACTGATGCTCGTATGGTACGTTTTTATTTCTGGGCTTCGTGAGGATATTAAGAATTCTGTATTGGTCTATAGGCCCAAAACCTACGAAGAGACCCTTGATTTGGCCCATATCCATGAGCGTCGAATCCAAGATGAAAAGGGACCTGCCCGACCCGGCTTTGCTCGAACAACTTCCTTATTACCAACCCCTAACTTGGTGCCCCTAAATCAAAATCCCTCCACCTCCCTCACCACTAATGCTACTGCCTCTCAAACATCAAATCGTCCTCCTATTAAGCGGATATCTCATGCAGAGGTCCAAAGCCGTCGTGAGCGTGGGTTGTGTTTCTATTATGAGGAAAAATTTGTACCAGGACATAAGTGTAAGACTCCATCCCAGCTTTTCTTGCTCACTAATGAACCTGATATTGACCCTAAATTGTCAGAACCTTTTGCCTCTGATGATTTTATTGCGGAGGAGCTGCAATGTTTGGAACTACAAGAACATTCGTCAATTTCTTATCATGCTTTAACTGGAGGTATTTCGCCATCGACTCTGAGATTTACAGGCCAAGTCAATGGTACGCCGGTTCAGGTCTTCGTGGATGGAGGAAGCATAAATAACTTCATCCAGCCTCGAGCCGCTAAGCACCTCCAGCTTCCTATTGAGTCGGTTCCTATTTTCTCGGTTATGGTGGGTGGACAGCGCCTTCCAAGTAATGCAGTGGCGAGGCAAACCAATCTGGTAATCCAAGGGCATACACTAGTGGAAGATTTATATATCTTGCCATTCCATGGATCCGACATAGTGCTGGGAGTGGCATGGTTGGCCACCTTGGGACCGGTAATTACAAATTATGCAACTAGGGAATTCGGGTTTACATTGAATGGGTCGCGAACAACTTGGCAGGGAGATTGTCCGACGGATACCCAAGTGATTCAGTTGCATAGCCTACGAAGAATGCCCGCCATTGATGCCATATCTTCGTTCTTTAGGCTAGAGATGGTTACAGAGGAGGTACCTGATACAAGGGAAACAGCTGTGGAATTGGTTGCTCTCTTGAGTAAGTTTGAAGATGTATTCCAGAGACCCACAGGCCTTCCTCCCTTGCGTGACCAGGACCATCAAATCCATCTTGCGCCCGGGGCTCAACCTGTGAATGTAAAGCCATATAGATATCCTCATTTTCAAAAGCAGGTAATGGAGCAGCTTGTTGCGGATATGCTCCGAGAGGGACTGATACAACCTAGCACAAGCCCTTTCTCTTCTCCAGTACTGCTGGTACGAAAGAAGGATGGGACATGGAGGTTTTGTGTAGACTATCGGGCCTTGAATGCCATTACAGTCCGTGATCGCTTCCCAATTCCAACCATTGACGAATTATTTAACGAACTACATGGCGCTCATTATTTCTCTAAGCTGGATTTATTATCCGAATACCATCAAATAAGAGTCAGGCCCGAGGATGTGGCTAAGACAGCTTTTCGGACCCATGATGGACATTATGAATTTTTGGTAATGCCGCTTGGGCTAACTAATGCTCCCTCAACGTTCCAAGCCACTATGAATGAGGTATTTAGACCCCACTTGCATCGTTTTGTGCTGGTATTCTTTGACGACATCCTAGTTTATAGTCCTTCCTGGGTTGCTCACTTGGAACACCTAGCTGTAGTATTAAATTTATTGCGCCAGCACCATCTAGTGGCCAAGCGCTCTAAGTGCTTGTTTGGGCAAACTTCTGTTGATTATTTGGGGCACATTATCTCAGCCCAAGGATTGTCTGTTGATCCCGCCAAGATTCATGCTATTCAACAATGGCCTCCACCCTATTCAATCAAGAAAATTCGTAGCTTTTTGGGGCTAGCGGGCTACTACAGACGTTTCATTCATCATTATGCTGCATTAGCTCGACCCTTATCAGATTTGTTGCGCAAGGATTCCTTCCGATGTGGAGAGAAGGAACAACAAGCCTTTGATACTCTTAAGGATAAGTTGGGATCTACACCTGTTCTAACTTTACCAGATTTTAGCCAAGAGTTCCAAGTCGAAACTGATGCATCGGGGCAAGGAATTGGTGCTATTCTTTCCCAACAGGGTCATCCCATTGCATACTTCAGTCAAAAATTATGCCCCCGAATGTAGGCCGCTTCAACTTACCACCGGGAAATGTTTGCTATTACTCAAGTAGTGAGTAAATGGAGACAATATCTTCTGGGACGCAAATTTACCATCCTTACGGGTCAGCAATCTTTAAGAAACCTGACCACTCAAACAATCCAAACACCTGAACAACAAAAATGGCTCACTAAGCTGGTCGGCTATGACTTTCGAATTTTGTACAGGCTTGGAAAACAGAACTCTACAGCTGATGCCTTGTCTCGCCATTCAGAGGCTACTTTAATGGCTCTTTCAGTCCAAACTCTTAACCTTGAACAAGATCTGAAGCAATTAAATCAAACCCACCCTGAATTGATTGCGATTCAACAAGCAGTAAACCAAGGAGATTTGGCATATGCTGACTACCGTTCAAGGAAGGCCTGCTGTTCTACAAGGGTCGACTGGTGATTCCCTCAGATGCTGCTCTACGCCAAAAATTAATCTATGAGTTCCATGCTACATCTATTTGCGGTCATGCTGGGATCGCGTGCACTTATCATCGTCTGGCTTCTAATTTCTTTTGGAGGCAAACGCGCAAGGATATACATACGTTTGTCGTTGCGTGTCACATATTCCAACAGATGAAGGATTCGCATCTACACCCTGCAGGTCTGTTGCAACCCCTGCCTATCCCGGATCAGGTCTTTGAAGATATTGCTATGGACTCTTGCCTGCCTAGTTCCAAGGGGAAGACCACTATTATGACTGTGGTCGATCGTCTCACCAAGTACGGCCACTTTATACCCCTGTCTTCGACTTTTTTGTCTCATACAGTGGCTGAAGCTTTTGTGGTAGGTATAATCAAGCTCCATGTGCCTCCTCGCACCATTGTGACTGATCGGGATCCGAGGTTCCTCCATTCTTTTTGGCAAGAGATAAATCGATTGCAAGGTTCAACTTTGGCCATGAGCACTGCTTATCATCCCCAAACAGATGGTCAGTCGGAAGCCCTTAACAAATGTGTGGAACAATATTTACGTTGCATTGTGGCTGAGGTACCTTCTCTCTGGGTCACTATGCTGCCTTGGGTTGAATTCTGGTATAACACTTCCTACCAGACTTCAGCAGGTATGACCCCCTTTCAAGCTTTGTATGGTCGTGAGCCACCTACCATTGCTCGATATATTTTGGGTAGCACTGCGAGTGAACTCGTGGAAAGTTACTTACTGCAACGAGATGAGGTGCTGCTAATGTTGATGAATAATTTGTTCAAAGCTCAAAATCGCATGAAAACTTTAGCTGTCACACAGTAACATATCTTTTGAGGTTGGAGATTGGGTGTATGTCAAGTTGAAGCCGTACAAGCAGTCCACTCTACGTTTACAACGCGATCACAAATTGGGTAGGAGATATTTTGGACCTTACAAGGTGCTACAGCGTATCGGGACTGTTGCATATCGCCTTGAATTGCCTGAAGCTGCTAAGATACATCTCAGTTTTTCATGTCTCTATGTTGAAGCGATGCATTGGAACTCCGGACCAGCAGGTAACCCCTTTGCAGCTGACTGATACTGCAGCATCTGAAGAGCAGGCCAACCTCAACCATGAGGACAAGGTTGATTTACAGGGAGGGAGTAATGTTGTGACTGAAGTAGCTGACTTGGAAGCCAACAAAGATGCCACAAAGGATGGTCACATGGATAAGACACGTAGGAGTTTTAAAAGAATTATTCCTCCACAAAGGCTTGGAGATTACGTTTGAAAGGTGATGGTCACGTGAATAAGGACAAAGTTGGTTAGGCAAAAAGAGTATAAAGCAACAGGCAAAAGGGTATTAAGGGTCAGACCAATATTGATATGAGTGTTCTCTGTTTTCTCCCTCTTTTCTTCTAGTTCCTCATCTCCTTCTCTAGTTATCTATTTCCAGTACTTCTATTGTAATTTTTCTGCTTTTCAGTCGCAATTGGATTATCAGTAATTGTAATTTTGAGCTAAGTCCCAATTAATATAGTTTGGGAGTTTTGGTTACTGTTTCATTACTGAATTTGTTCCAGTAATGAAATCTTGGAGAAAGAAGTGAGTAAGAATATCAAAGAGAAACACAAAAAATATGTAGGATTTTCTGAAATATAAAGAGATTGGGAAAAAAAGAAAGATTGACTTGGACAAATTAAGCAAGAGAAAGCAAATTTTTTAACGAAGGAGTAAAAAATAAAAAACTAAAAGTTATGAATACTATTCATCTACACATTTTTAAGTAAGTCAAAACTATTATTTTATTTATATATTTAAAAAGTTTTCTTTCATTTATATTAAAAACTCTAATTTTGTATTAAAAACATTAAATATTATTTTTTAAATATCTATGAACCTATTATTTTTTAAAAATAGGGCCCCATAAATTTGGGGGCCTAAGGCACAAGCCTTACTCCACATAAGATTGGAGCTGGCCCTGACTGTATTTTCAAAAGTGTTTTCTGTGCAAGCTCTAGGGCGAAGATACTGGCGAGGGGCGTAAGCTCCAACCTTCCGGGCGTTCACCTAGGCGTAATCCAATGTTCTGGGCATTCATTTCGGGTGTAACTCCCGAGAACTTTTACAAATTTGAATCAGAATTGCTTAATAATATTTTATAAAAATTTAAATATTCAAAAGTTAACTCATAATAAATTATCAAACTAAAAATCTCAAAAGTCAAATGTGTTTTCTAATTGTTTGTCCTAATTTCATAATCTTTTCTCTTTGATCATTTACTGAGTAACAAATTGTCTGCAAAGTACAAACTACAATGCAAATAGTTTTGTCCTCCAATTCTTAGTCTACTTCCACGCTTGTATTTCCTTCTTTGTGCTTCATTTTTTTCATGTCTTTCGTTTTATCCTTTAATTTATTCTTTTCAAGTTAATTTTTAGTTTTAGAATTTCTTTTGGTATTGCTATGTTTAGATATAATTTTTAAAGAATCTAGGCTATTTGTATTATACAATCAGCATTTGTGATTTGTTATCTAGTTTTTAGATTTTAACAAAATAATTTTATATTATTATCATTTTTATTCTTTGAATTATCCGGAACTAGCATCTTTACGTCTTTTACTTTTTCAAGTAAAAAAAAATTTACACCGTTTATATATATATATATATATATATATATATATATATATATATATATATATATATATATATATATATATATAT